CTGGGGGGGTGGGGAATCAGAGCCTAGCCCCACCCCCAACCCTGCAGCACTCACAGCTCCAGCACCAGCACCATCTCGGCCTTGCTGGCGAAGAGGTCGTACAGGCGCATGATGTTGGGGTGCTCGAGCTGCTGCAGGATGCCGACCTCACGCTCCACCTGCTCACGGCTCAGCCCCCGGAGGCTGCCCCGGCACTTCCGCGTCTTCACAAACTTGGCGGCATAGAAGGCCCCTGTCCCACGCTCTCGGCACCGCTTTACTACACCGAAGTGCCCGCTGCAGGAGGGGGCAGAGTAAGGGAGGGCTCTGGCTGGTATAAGCAAGGCCCCCACCCTGCTCTATCTACTCCCTAGGCAGCAAGTCCTGGCTCCCAACCTCAGTGCTCTAACCACTAGCCCCCATTTCCCCATCAAAGCTGGGAAAGAACCCAAGAGTCCTGGCTGCCAGGTCTCGTAGCACCTACCCACTAGGCCCTCTCGCCTCCCCGGGCTGCAGTAGAGCCCAGAAGTCCTGGCTCCTCATTTCTTTGATCCAACGACCCCGCTCCCCCTTCCCACCCACAGCTTTGGGAAGAAGCAGGGCTAGGAACCAGGACTCCTGGGTTCACAGCTCGATTGGGGAAGGAGTCAGGACCCAGCTACAGCTGTCAGCTGTGGGAAGGAGCAGAACCTGGACCCCCGGGTTCTGCAGGGGGTTGGAGGGGAGTCCAGCGGCTAGAACAGTTGCTCTGGGAAATGACCGTGCTGGGCCAAGCCCAGACTCAGCTTACTGAGCTCAGAGTCCATTGACAGCAGGGAAGGCTGTGGGCCAAGAGCCCAGGGACAGGAAGAGGAAGAAGCTGTGGGCTGCGGGGTCAGGCAGCAGCTTCCAGCCACATTCACTTCCCTCTCGCCTTGCACCCAGCCTGTGCTCACCTGCCCAGAGTCTCTAGCAGCTCATACAGCTCCTCCACGTTCCCGGCTTTGAACGCAGCCATGGCATCGGCCCCCGTCACTAGCGCCTTGACATCCTCCAGGCAGCTGGACCCCTGCAATAGGCACAGGCTGAGTGCTGGTGCCCTGGGATGCAGCTCAGACAGGGCCAAGCTGGCTGCAAAGGAAGGAGCTGCAAGGCCCAGGAGGCAGAGTCAGCTCCAGCTACACCAAGGGGATGCAGGGAGGACCAGCTCTCTGAGCACAGATCGAGGAGAGACACCAGGATCCCAGCGCCGGATCTTCCCAAGAGCGCCCAGTGCCCTTAGATCTCCTTGAGAGAAACCTCCCTGGGTGCAGACAGGAAGAGCTGGCTCACCCCTTTCCCAGCCAAGCGCCCACTCAGCTGGGCTGGGCTCATGCCCACGTGCCCGGCAGCCAGGACAGGGAGGGAGCATGGGGAACCTGAGGGCCCGAAACAAGGCAGCTTCCCCCAGCACAGCCCCCAAGTTCAGGGGCTGGGATCCCCAGCCCTAGAGGGCAAGGATGGGACCGGAGGACCACCAGCTGCTTCGAATGGCAATGAAAAGCCAAGCCCTAGTGGCACGGAGCTGAGGGCTCGTCTATGGAGGGGAAGGAAGAATCTGAAGGCAAGGCTGGAGCCAGGAGCCCGGCCCAAGGGACAGCAGATCCCAGCCACCAAGCCCCGTGGCTCTGGCTCACCTCCGCAGCACCTGTGGGGAGGCTCATGCCCCCCCCGGCAAGACCACTGGCCCTGCCATCCTGAGCCATGGGCTGTGAAGACAAAAGAAGGGCCTGCATTAGCTCAGGATGTGGGAACCGGAGCGCAGATAACAGCTCGCTGCTTCTGCCCACAGACAGAGCACGCCCTGCTGCTCAGGAAGGACGAGGGTCTCCAGTGGGCGGTGGGGCTGTATTCCTGCCTCCCCCGAGAGGATGCCAAGGGACGATGGCCAAGCACCAGGGGGATAGTCAAGACCTCAGGCCCTGGCTGTGGAGCGCCAGGACACCTGGGCTCTGTTCCCCCTCTGCCACTGACTTCTGAGTAACCTTGTTTATACCCCTTCGCCTGGGCACAGCAGAGCCCCTGGTGCCTCAGCGGGTGTGGACCAGGCCTAGCTCTGCAAGCGGCACCTGGGAGAGCAGGGAATCCCCACCTGGAGCAGAACTTCAACCATGAAGTCAGAAACCTCTGACCACATGCAGGGGGAAGGTCTGCTGCGGTGAAGGCCGATGCTGACTGTTCCCAGGGCCAGAGAGCTCCCTGCCACCTGGGGAAACAGCTCTGCAGGGGCTCAGGTGGGGGCTTTGGGGCAGGGGGCTCCGAGATGCAGCTGCGCCCCCCCAGGAGTCAGAGAGCAATGTGGTGGCTGCCCAGGAGACTCTGGCCTGGCCTGAAAGTGAAACCACCCACGAGGAGGAAGCGGCTTTAACAGCTCCGAGCTGGGGGGGCTCCTTCCCCCGCTCAGTGGGGCCCAGCCTGAGTCACGACAGCAGGAGCGTTGGCTGCCTAAAAATATGGCAGCGAAGGCACCAGCACCTGCCGCTTCTCCAGGAGAACAGGTGCGTCACGGAGGAGGCGATGGAGGCGTCTGTCACACGCAGCTGCTGCCGTCGTGAGCTGCAGAGGAGCCTCCGCAGAAGAACCCCAATAGCTGTACGGGGCTTAGGACACATGCAGTAGCAGAGGGCAGCGAGTTCAGGGGTAGCACGAAAGCAAAGGTGCCCTGACCCCGGCACTGCCCAGCCCCCAGCCCTGGGCCAAGCCGAGCTGGAGGGGCAGGGAGACGACAACAGCCGTGCGCCAGGGCCAAACAACGCCCCATTGTGCGGGGCCCGGCCCTCGGCTCCCGGCACAATCATCCACTGTGCCGGCGCAGCGGGTCACGGGGAAGCAGGGGTGTGCGGGCTGCAACGGGTGCAGGGACGGCGAGTCCTTTGTGGGGTGGGTACAGCACGAGTCCTGACCCCCTGTGCAAACCCAGGCCCCCCCAGGGCTCCCTCCCCAAGACTTCAGAGAGAACCCAGGTGCCCCAGCAAGTCCCACATCCCTGCTCTAACCACTACACTCTTCTCATGCCTCTTCCTACCTCAGTCCCGGGGGGATGGAGGTGCCAGCAGGGCAGCAGTGCCAATGGTGCCCTGGCGTGGGTCCAGCTGCAGCCCCAGCTCCCTCCGGCCTCATTGGGACATCTCCTGGGTCCATCTCATGGATACAACCTGGTGCTCCCAGGACCCCCGCCCGATCCCCCCCAAAGTGAGCCCAGGTGTAGGGGATTCTCCCCTCCCCAGGAAGAAGGGGTGACCCCGCAGCTTGAGCAGGGAAGGGTTGGTAGGAGGAAGGTGCCCACCTCTCCTCTGCACTGCAGGGAGCCAAGAGGCATCCAGCCAAGGCTGACCTTGCAGCGGGGAGGGAAAATCCCAGGTCTTAGCAGGACAGGGAGGACGGGAGGTAGCTGACACTGCAAAGCAGAGACATGCTGCAACCTTCCCCAGCACCGATCACATCCCCCCAGCCATGGACGTGCTCTTGAAGAAACCTCTTCAAGCTGCCAGGCTCTCTGCAGGATCCAGGGATGGGGCTGGACCCCGCC